GTGAAAATGATCTGCTGTGACACTTCAGTCGGCTGTGAGCAGTGAGAAGCTTTGATTGGTGCTTAAAGGAAAAACTTTCTCTGTGGCTGATTTCAACAACACAGGTCCAGTGGCTGAAGTGAGGAAATTACAGCAGATTATAGTAAATAATATTCTTCCATTTCAGTAATTCCCTGAAACAGCTGATTAATGTTTCTAGGAAACATCACACAAACAGTGCATTTGTTGCGGACTATTTTCAGCTGGGGATTAATCTCCATGTGGTGCCTTCACGAGAATTTAGCAGCAGAACGATGCGTGTGGGACTGAAAAGAAACAGCCTTATTTATTCAGCATAAATTACAATCTTATAACGGCGTGGATTGCTGTTTGTTTCTGCTTTATATCATTGTGAACATCACATTTCTCGGATTTGACCGGTTTGTTGGGAAAGACAAGACATTGGAAGATTCTTCCTCGGGGCCTGTTTCCATGTTTCCAGATATTATGGACGAAACAATTCATGGCTTATTTAAAATATAATCCTTATTTCCAGCTCTAGGAACCTATGTTGTTCATACGTCCCGTTTGTGTGAACACTATATCCCAACAACGCCGTGAGGGAATTTCTTCATTTCTGGTACAATTGTTTGACTCAATAACAAACTGATTGGATTTTTTTTTGTAAAAGCTGAAGGCATCTTTTGCTTCAAGACATTTTTTTCCTTGTGAACGCGATATCTCAAGAAAACCTTCAGGAAATTCTTTTCAATTTGGTACAGATGTTCACTTTTAACTGATTCGATTTCAGTGGTCAAAAGTCAAAGGTCACGATGACATCGAATGAGTCTTGGGGAAAAAAAGACTTAATTCTTAGGCAATTTGTTTGCTTTACAGAATTCCCAACTCTCCTGCTGAGAACTACAATAGTTAAGATATCAATAGAGAGCTGTATCTTGCACTTGGTTTAATGAAATTAGTCTTTTTCATGAGCAGTGCAGGTGCTGGATTGAGACACATATTGGCATCCTTCAATAGTAGTGCAGCAAACTCAAGATGCCGCCCACTCACTGGCTCAAGCATAGAAGACAAGAACATAGTGCACATGTCAGAATGCGTCCGTCTTTGTCAGTTAATTCTCTGGCTGTCTTATCTGACTCACCCAGCAGCAGCAGCTATAAAAGCCAGGCTCTTTTGCTTGACTTTAATGCCACTAATGCTGTTTAATCACTCAACCATTCATCCCAGTATGTCCTGAATTACTATCAGCTTCATTTGGCATTGCCTCATGCCGACCGGTGTCCATTATCGCCGGTGCAAATGAGGAAAGATAATGTGTTTTGTTCAAAAGCAGATGAAGAAGCCTCCTGGAGTTTGTGGCTGTAACTATGTCGCAGCACTGGAGATGGTCACTGTGTGTGATCAATGAGATTCATGAATCTGAAGCAGCCTTCGGGATTTGACCTGGTTTTTATCAAACACACACACACACACACACACACACACACACACTGGGATTCACAGACAGAGACAAAGTTTAGAGAGAGTGAACACGCTAAATGGAGGTCTCAAGACACATGATGGATGAAACTCAAGTGAGAGGAAGAGTGCAGTGTAGTGTGAACGTGGACCTTTAAAACAAGGCCACACTAAGCCATGCCAGGCCACGCTGAAGAAATCCGTTGTTTGCTCTCTGACGTTGTCTGAGGAGTGGATTTTAAAAAAAGGGAGGAAACTTCAAGTGGAGAGTGATGGAAGAGTTGTGACTTTGCACTAATTCTCCTACACTCAGCCCCCGGGGGCGGTCAGGGCTTCATAATCCACTGACCGGCGTCCATCGTCCCTGACAGGGTGAAGCCAATCAGCGTGTACACTGAGGAAAATCACTGGGATGTCACAGCGGGATCCCGTTGTCCAGTGAAACAAAGTTTGGGCCCAGCCATGGCCCACTGACCCACTACAGACTCCAATAGTTTTTAATTCAAACTATGTTGCTCCTGATCGTGTGTGTGCGCCTGTGCGTGTGTGTTGCCCTATTTTGTAGAAGTTGAACTTGCTTACAAACTTTGAGTAATAAATATTTTAACAAAGTCAAAGACTACATAAAGTACAATGTAGTTTTAAGATTTCCTGATTAATAAGTCTTGAATAAACATAATTTGCATAGCTGGCTTCAGTTATAAATGGAAACAAGGACAGTTTCAAAGGGTTTGAATTTATAAATTGGTGCTTCTTTGAAATTAACGGTATAAGATGCAACTTTTTTAAATCCCAGTGCTTGTAATTTCACGAGTTCTGTTCTGTAAATCATCTCCCAGTTGTTGTAAATGCTACAATAGCAGTGTTGCAGTAAGAACATACATATGTAGGTTGATCATGAGACATCACCTTTTTCCCAATGAGCCCAACTCATCTTCTTCAGAGGACGACTTAGAAAATATCTAGATCTTTAAACGAGGAATCTGAATCCTACTTTGCCTTTGTCAGCTAAGGCCCAGAGCTAGGACTCCCACTTTTGGCTCCGTTTTGATTCCCAAACTTAGACATATTGGACTTAGTTCATTATTGGAATGTCATTGATTTTACTGAATGTATCTTCAGATGAAACTTTAACACCGCCTCCCTCCCTTAAACTCAACCATGTCCACTACCTGAAAACGCTGCCCTGGGTAAAAGCAATATCAAACTTGAGATTGAGCTGTTCCTGAGTTTTTTACTCAGCCTTCATGTGTCCTTGTTCCCGTCCTGCGCCCTCAGCGGAGCGATGGCACTTTGTGTAATTATTACACAGCTTTGTTGAGTTTGCATTTCTGCCGGGCCACTAAAAGGTTCAGACATCTCTTTTATAATCAGCCATGGACGTTTTGATGATTTCGTAAGAGTGCTGCTTTTCAATCCGAGCTTCTCTGTGGCCTCAGTTTGTCATATGAGTATTTTTAAAATTGTATTGATGTCTTTTGAAAGCACACATGTAATAAGTACTCTGCAGGAAGGAAGTGATTGTTGTAAAATAAATCACCCTGTCTTCAGTTTGCTGTACCCTACTCTTACACTGTAAAAAAATAACAAAAAAATAGGACACAGAACAAAAGCCCTGAGATCGATTGTGTCTTTGTCGATATCATAAGTTATGGAGACACAGAGGCGCAGTAGCCAGGTCCCACGACACATGCTTGACTAATCGTTAGACGTTCACCCTACGTTTAAAGCAAATGAACACTCGACACATCAGTGAAGAACTACCTAAAATGGCCGACACTATATTTATGTACGGTCTGTGGTAGAAATACTCTCTAAATACTATGTTAAAAGTAAAAGTCCTGCTTTCAGTATATGTTCTGAAAAATGATTTCAATGAAAAATATACACAAAGTAACACAACTAAAAGTACTAATTGTGCAGAATGGCCCATTTCAGAATAATGTATATTATATAATTTGATTTTTTATTGATTTATTAATATGTTCCTATATATTAATGTCCATCTCCCTTAAATGTTGCAGCTAGTAAAGGTGGGGCTTATTTTAACAAATAATTACATTACCGTCTCGTGAATTGTCGTGGAGTCGGAGTACAAATTTGCAGTAAGTGGAACTGTTACAGTACAAGTACCTCAAATCTGTACTTGCATTTGAGTAAAGATACTTAGTTAGGTTTCCCTCTCTCTCTCTAGCTCAACCTCCTGTGAATGAATTAATAAAAGAGTCAACACTATAGACTCTGTGTGTGTGTGTGTGTGTGTGTGTGTGTGTGTGATTGCTTCACAGTATTTGCATGGATGGCTCTGAATCTCCTTGGCTCCTCAAAGTCCAGAGCACAAAAAAACAAGTTCAACAACACCATTCGTCATCCCAAATTAAATTTCCCTTATTTCCCTTCAGGAGGAACCCACATGTCCTCTGCTAAATGGCTGCACAGTCATTTGTGTACAGGTTAAATTAATGTACATTCATTTAAAATGTCCTCCACTCTGCAGAACCTTTATCTGAATAACATTATAATTGCTTTCTCGATTGCCAGTAGATATTAACTTGTATTATTCTGTCAGACTAAATATTTTAATTTATCTTTCAAACAACAGTAATAACATGAGATGGCAAAGACACACGGTTGCTTGTGATGCACAGGAATAACAATCAGTGCATCTGACTGCCTCACGCAATAGTCAAGCCTTTTTTTGTCATTTAATACTAAATGTGCAGATCTAATCTTAACTAATATAAGTTGCAGCCTTGTGCTGTAAGTATAAAAAAAGGCTAAATTGCTTTTATATCTGGAAATATTTAATGTTGCCTGGCAACAGCATCTGGTGATCTGGTGGGTTCAGAGATGAAGTGCTTTCATTATCACGTCTAGCTCAGTTAATATTTGTAAAGAAATATATATTTATAATGTTTGGAGAGTGAAATATTGAAGCATAAAAATAATATCACACTTGAGCATATTGACAGCCACTCAACAAATGCTTTAAGCTGATTAGTTGAGCAACCACTTATCATTTCACTTGTCTCAGAAGTAGCTAGTTCCTCAGACTCACTCCCTCAGTTTTCGGCTTGTTGTATTGTAGTTGTTGTTACTTATTGTACTTTATATACATTAATTTAAACTCTTCAAACTTTTTTCTGTGAATTTCCATGCAAAAAGATTCAGATACTGAATAAAGAACAAACAAACTAGAACAAAATTATTCTGTGTGAGGTCCTCTCCTTTCCACAGAGACACGAGCTGCTGTCTAACTCGATAGCGGAGCGCTTTCATTGCAGAATTTCCTCAGCTCTTCTGAGATTCCCTAACTCACTCATTTGCTTAATCCGAGCTGATCCACGGGACATGAACAAAGCGTCCACACCTGTCCTCCCTGGCGTCCTGTGCCAGGGAAACAGCTGTGGTGACCCACGTGACCTCCGAATGTACAGCGTGAGAAATGGCAGCACTCATGTATGATGATGCTAATGTCAGACAGCGGACAAATGTGTGTGACTGGGGGAAGAGAAGCGGGCGGGAGAGGCGGCTGTACTCACCATGTCGATGGATGACACAGGCCCGATGCTGTTGACATATATGCCCACATCGATGACTGTTGGTTTCACTGAAAGAGCCAGAAGGAACACGAGTGAGTGATGGCCGCACATAGTGTAGACGGGACACGTGGTGTGAGATTCATACATCTGCAATCAGTCAGTTTTTTTTCGTCGTCTGTCAGGGTTTTCATCCCCTTGTTACGCCTGACTGAACCTGCAGTGTTCAAAACTGAATCAGGGCTTTAAAACAATGATTATCACAATGTCACCTTGAAAAACCAAAAGAATCTATTTTCTTTACAGTGAAGGCTGAGCCATCCATTCATCCATCCATCCATCCATCCTTCCATCCATCCATCCATCTATCTATCTATCCATCCAGAGTGAAATATGTACAGTCTGTAAATCAGAAAAAGCTCCTGCAGCAGTCGCTGTGTTACCATGGCGATTAATAGCATTTCCAGTCAGTATCTAGGATCTTGGCTAATTTTGCTTGGCAACAACATTTGAATTGGTTCTTGGAAGCAGAAATTGGAACATCAGAAACATGGACCGTTACCAGACCTTAATGATGCAGTTAAGGAGTATTTTTTCTCTTAATATGAAGGAGCTTAGGGGAAGAACTAGAAAGTGTTATTGCTCTACACGTTCCGCATCTGTCGGCAAATCATTTACTCCAGCTAAACTCCTGGTTGCACCATCCTCAGTCTCAGAATCATGTCGTTCCAACCGCGTTTTTATAGCATGAAATATGTCATTAAAACCAAACACCTAAACGAACATCAGTGTGATGAGAACTACATTAAACGACAGAAACCATTTACATGATGTGTCCTTAATGAGTAATTAGACTTGTGACCTATACTGCAGCCAGCCACCAGGTGGCGATCAAAATACTTTGTTTTCACTTTCACTGCCAAGTAATAGTGGTGAGTTGTGGTACTGCAATAAAAAGGCATCATCATCATCATCATCATCATCTATTCTTTTATATTTTATTCCATCTATGGATGTTTAATATTTGTAAAACTTTCCCAAAGCTTTGCAGTAGCACTTTAATTTTATGTGCATGACATCATCACAATGTAAACTGTAAACACTAGAGCACACGTGCAACACATAAAAATCAAACAGCAAAGAAATAAATAATTTGTTTAATGAAATCATCCAATCCACTGAAATGAGCTTGAAAATATTTCACGTGCACCATTTCCCTCTATTTACATCACAGGTGCGACTAACAGCTGCTATTCACTTTTGAGAAGGCACAGAGATTTGTTGAACACACACACAAGCATATACACAAACTCAATTTGAGTGCATTGAATACGTCTGCAGAGCCTCTTTCAGACAGTTGTGTAAATGTAGGCTGAGCTGTTTTGATAGCAACCGACATTGTGAGGTTAAGCACTGAGCATGTGTGAGAGCTCTTGTGCGTCCACCCCCAGAGACAGTGTAATCGTTGGTTTGAATTCGTTTGCAGCTTTGCGACCAGTACACGTTTGGAATCTGCCGTCTGGCTGGAAGGAAAAAAAATTGCACATCGCCATTTACTGTCGTTTTGTTTGCCAAAGGTTAGGAGTTCTGCCAAGTGGTGTATTTTAATAGATCTCTGTGGGAACTGGAGTCTTCACCAGAAAGCAGCAGTTGCGCTTCACTATTTGCAAACAATATATTTCACAGACTGCACAAAGCTTCTAATTCCTCTTCTAGCAGATCACTAAACAGGGCAAACGTTACAAAGACGTCCAAATAGTCCAAATAATTCTGATCATAAAATCTGCATGTCTCTTTCTCTCCTCGAGACAAGTTGCCTTTGGCAGCGTGCTCAACTCCCAACCTTGATCAATTTGATCACTCAGCCTCTAGGTGAGAATGTCGGAGCCGGAATAAAAAATGCAGGCTGAGGCTGAGAAAGAAAAAATATTCTCACATAAATCTAAAAGTAGAGGTTGAATTAGAAAAAAGAAATTGACTTTAATTTGAAGCTGTAGCTGTTTGGGTGTGTACAGACATCAGCACTGCCAATTAAGAACATTTAACAGAAGGCTGTTTGCATGTAATCTAATAATATTGTTGTCACATGTTACCTACTTAATGAATCCATGACCCACATTACATGAAGACTCAAATAAATCGATATTCTTTACTCATCATCGTCTTCACAGCCACGTGCCGTGGGATGTAAATGAAAATGTAAGTACTGAAGGGCATGTGGGTGTGTTCATGTGTGCAGATCCGAGCGGTATGTCCCAGGGACCTGCTGTGCTGGTCCACTGATGCAAACAGTTTTGGTTGGTGGAGGCCGGCTGGGAGGCATTGACTCAGTTCCAACAGCATGTTCCGCTCCACCAACTGGACAATGAGCGACAACAATGCACTTGTGTTTTTTTGCCTATAATTCAGCTTGCACTGTGCCGACAGATATGTTCTCTACGATCTTTACTAGGAATTCAAGACTCCAGCATTCCCTTCTGATAAAGCTGTGGGGTGGATCAGCATGATATTATGTAGAAGCATTCACGGTGCCCAGGAGATGAATCTTTTACGACCCCCTGACGTTTCTTCTATTGTTACCGAGAGGCTGTCGCACCACCAGTCGGTCAGTTTATTTCACTTATCCTCTGAGATAGCTCAACATATGATGGCAGACATTTGGTCGACATCTATTGAAACTTCTCAGAGGATGAACCCTCCTGACTTTAAACCCCTGATGCTTCTATTTTTTCATTTTTAATGGAATATCTTGGCAACCACGGTCGGTTCCTCGTTCCTGGTTGTAAAGTTCTTCTCAGAATGTATCCTTAGCTTAACTTTCCTCAACATTCAGCAAGAAATCGAAACGTATGTTTCCTTGAATACAAAATAGTGAAGTGAATATCATCAGCTTAATTGTAAACTCATTTCTTAGATATATGAAGACCAAGGATTTATTTTCTTTGGCAAATACAAATAATGACAAAAACTTTTGAGCAAGAATAATTGTAAACCCGCTAAACAGATACCGGGTGTCATTACTGAGATCTTATAAAATAAATGTGAACCCACACAGCTACACAGGACTGTCAGCAGCTGATGCTTCAACTACGTACAGATATCCACATTATTTATCATTTCGAGCCCGGACAGGCCAGAAACTGAAAGTCTGCTCACTAATTCATCTGCGCTGTTTGTGTTGCCAAGATGTCAGCCTGATATCTGCAGACAGCTGCTAGCTGGTGTTAGCTTCTTGGCAGAGGCCGACTGAATATAGCAGAATCCACACACTGTTCTCTCAACTTGCACAGCTTCAAATCCCGTCGACAGATATTACCCCTCGTCTCAGATCCCTTTCATTGATGGGAACTTCACTACAAAATAACCAGACTCGACAAACCACCCTGAGTCTGGACAATCCTGTCACACAGTTTATAGCCTGCAGTGAAGTAACTTTACACAAAGTCGCCATTAAAAACACACAAATGCACAAATGTAAATGAATCCTGGGGTTATAGGGATCAGTACTGAATAATTCAAATGTGTATTTCATCTGAAAAATTGCTCATTAGTTGCAAAAGACAATTTCCAAAACCTGTCAACATGTCCAGAGAAGAGACGAGAAGACGCTGACAAAGATGTCAACTCGTAAAGACGAGGAGATTCGAGAGCTTGAATTTGAGAATTCTTGTCAGACGACAGCTTATGTCTCTTTGGAGATATTTTGACCCTTCACTATCCGTGTGCCAGGAAAATAAATCATTTTGTTGATTACTGCTTTCAAATCCTTTTGAAGTGACTGCAGGACCTCCTGTTGGCTTGCGTCTGGTCAGTGGTTAGCATCGCACTGTTGAATACTGTCTGGCACTGTTACTGGGCATCAGGCCCATGTTCACCCTCTGAATCAAATCTTTACTTTCCATTTTTTGGAAATCTGGCATTGAGAGCGAGTGGGACAATACAAACTCATAATGTTCAAATAATAGAGAAATAAACAAGATGTACTCATTGTTCTTTGAAGACAAGGGGCTGGAGCGTTTTCCAGCATTCACTGGGAAACCCCAGGACACCAGGAGAGGATGAACAATAATGCAGATGAGTCCACCTCATCTGAATATATTTGGATTAGGTGGTGGAAACACCAGGTGGAAACCAAGGCGACAGGGAGAACGACGGTTCCTCCTGTGAGAGCCATTTACAGTGGAAATGGAGAAATTGAAAGACCACAGGAGTGATTGTATGGGGCGGGAAGCTGACGTGTTTCAGCCGAGCAGGTCCGCAGTGTCTGGAAACTGGGACAACCTGAAGGGAATTGTCCTTAATTTACTCCACAGTGGATCATCACAAGAGAACATCACACTCTGTATCTCTTTAAGATACATTTTACACAGACATATCTATGTCTCTATCTATCTCTCAATCTCTCTATCTATCTATCTGTCTGTATATCTGTCTGTCTGTCTATCTATTATCTGATGAATTCCTCTTCCTCCTCCTCAGGACACTCAGCCTCCTCCTCCTCCTCCACCACCTCGTCTTCTTTTCAGAAAAGCCTCACAGGTCCCATCTGCATTACCGAATTACCCTGTGGGCCTCGATTAAGCAGAGATGGCTTTTATGCCTGCTTGGCCTGGCTGGCATGACAAATGCAGCCCACATTGTGAGCCCTGGTGAACACACACTCACTCACTCACTCACTCACTCACTCACACACACACACACACACACATACTCACTCACACACACACACACACACACACACTCACACACACATCCCTGCTGACCTTTCAACCTCCATATGTTGAGTGTCCAAGACATACTGTCCAGGGAGTAGTGCAGGCATCAGCTGCAGTCTCAAGGGGTTGCCTTCATCTTTCAAAATAAATGTGCCATGACATTGTTCATCACATCTTCAATAACAGTTATTTACAGTACTTTAGGCTTCCAATTTAATTCCATTTAAAATGCACCGACTACGTGATCCTAGGAAAACATTTGGAATATAATCAATAATGTTGGAGCTGTCGTCACAATGCACCAACGAGACAGTTAAAGCAACACAGCTAGAGCAAGTTGCTGGAGGAGCCAAATC